GTGAAATGATCAGGATAAGAAACTATTATGGGCGATTTGCTATTAATAATAATTATATTTGGCGACTTTCAAGAAATATGCACCAGACCGTGTGTACACGACGTTTGGAGCCGAATCGTATTTGTCGTGGGAGTGTCATCGGCGTGCTCGGGAGGTCCCCAATGACGTCCCAGGGAAGGGAACCAGGACGACATCGGCACTTCCAGATTTGGACTCAGCGTGCGAGAAAATCCCCGAACACGATATTTCAGTCGTCCTGGTCGTTCCGAGGTTGACGGTCGGTCGGTCGGTCGGTCGGTCGGTCGGTCGGTCGGCCAAACCGTATCTTATTTTGACAGCCCCTATGTGTGCCCTGGCGCCGCCGGTAGCATCATCTCCATTAGCAGCACATTGCTTTTTGCTTCAACAAAACGGGGCAAACGGAGTGCGCGTTGTTTTCCGAGAACTCAGCATTTTCGTCGATGCTGGCGATGACGCAGGGGGAGAGGAAGGTAAGCTGCGCTCGCGACACCGACGCTGCGTCACCACACACACGCGATACGGGCGCGACTTGAGTCGGCATGGGTGAATATACGCGACGCGACGCTCCAACGATAGCGCCTGCTACGCGCCGGGTAGGCCAACCCGCCAAGCAGCTGCGTGAAGACGGCGGCCCGCCCAGCGCCTGAGTGCGGGGCCTTCCGGCGAGAGAACGTTTGACGCCCAGCGCTTGGACGCCCAAGCCCAACGTTCGCTCGCGTCACCGTGGGTCGAGGCACATTGTGGGTGGGGGCACCTTGAAGGAAAGAGGCGTAGTACACCCCGAGATTCGTTCCAAACTACGGGTCTAAAAAATGATCATAATCGTTTTTTTAACCTTTCTCGTCACAACAAATGGAGACAGACAGAAAACTCTCATTCATGGACTAATGTGTGTGCGTCCCAGGGTCGTGTGAGAGCTCAAGAAGTGCAGAGGCGAAATACATTTACCCATGGCTAACAGATGAATTTCGTCCGTTGCAGCAGGATTAAGAGCGAAGAGGTTTGTGGGGAGGAGGAGGAGAAGGAGAAGGAAGAGAAGAAGGAGAAGGAGGAGGAGAAGGAGAAGGAGGAGGAGAAGGACGACAAGGTGGACGGCGCGACGACTAATCGAGGCAACGTGCTCTTCCCGGGACGTGTCCACTCAAGTCATCTGGAAGGTGGCGGTGGGCTTGGCTGCGCCGCGCTGCGACACGTGACCGACTCGCAGAGAAGGATTTTTTTTTTTTTTTTGGGGGGGGGGGGAACAGGCCGAGCATAGGAAAAGGTGGTGGCGGCTAAATTTTCGTTGGGGAAAACGGGCGCAGAAGCGTTCTGTAGGGAAGCAACTTGGGCGAGGTGGCGTCGGGTGGTGCAGACGGAGAGCGGAGGCAGTATTGGTTTACTCTGAGCATCTCTCTATACCGGACAGGCACGTGGGCAGGGCAGGGGTCCCAGACCCCTCCCCCTTGCCCTCTCTCCTCTCATGTCCGTCGTACACGCAAACCGGTGAACCTCCGGGTACACACCCTGCGCTGGGCCCGGGCCCGGGTGCGGTCCTTAGGGCGTGCTGCGGGATGCGGCGGGTTTGCGGCGTGGCGATGTGGCTGAGGTGGCGGTGGCGGGGCGGGGCGGGGC